ATAATCTTAAGCATACTTCTATGGTTGTATAATTTGTAGTACCATATGGGTATAAAGCTTGCTAAAATAATGAAATTTAGCATAGGTTGTGTTGACCTCAACCTTCGATCAGCTTAGTTAGACCTCATCGAGCCCAATCTGAACTCGAATCGACCCAAACTAATTTTAATTAGACTCAACCCTATTCATTCCTGTAGGGGCGCTATGGGCGGAACCACCGGGTCATAGCCCCCGGTGCTGTAAGTTTTCTTAAAAACTTAGAAAAATCTTTAGGGGCCTAGATGATTGCACGCCTCCCACCCTTAAGACCTTGTAGAAATTTCATTTATAATTAGGATTGCTTTTACTTTATTAGATCCCCAAAACCTTTTGACTTATGTATAAAAGTCTTAAGGGCTAGAAAATAACACTGCTTTTAGTCCTACAACTTTAGTGACATCTAAGGACAAAAATTAAGGACCGGGTCTTAGAAAACATAGACTTAGGGTGCATGCTCCATGTAGGATAGAAACATTAAAACAAAAACTTGGTGGCACACTTTCATAGATTTAGTTTTTATTCTTAATCCACTAATAATCAACCAACCAACTTTAATCTAATTCTTAAAATATATTAAAATACTTAATTCTTAATCAACTTATAATTAACATTTATAATTATTAAATTACAAATCTAAATCTAATATAACTAATCTAATAATTAACTCCTAACTAATCTAAAATTTAAAAGAAGTAGATTTAATTAGGGGATCAATCATAAGCTAAAATTTATTAGGATAAAAGACTCCTAAATATCAAACTTTAGAATAATCTCTAAAAATTAACCAACAAACTTAATTAATAAAATGCTTAATGCACCCTTTTATTTTCTTTTCAAAACAAACTAAAATAAAATAACAAAGTTAATTATCACTGTGAAACCCAGGCTTAAGAGGCTATTAAGTTAGCCCCAAGGAGGGTGAAATAAACCTCACGGCCTCGGTGTGAAACAAAGGTGATAATTAATCAAATACTAAAATAAAAATATTTAAAATCAATCTTAAGACACTAATATTTGAAATTTAATTAAAATCCCTTTGCCCTTTTAACAAATAAAAAAAATGCAAGTAACTTTAATTAAACTTCCCTATATAGGACCTACCAAAACCACACAGCCTACACACACTTAGACTGGTTTGCTAGGACACGACTACTAGTCTTAGGTTAGGCCGATGCTTTTTTTTTCTGTCTCTGTGTTGTGGGGACTTGCATATGACCCGTGTGCTGTTTGCTTTACTACTTGCTTTAGCTTTTTTTTCTTTGTGTGACGCTTTTTTTTCTGTGATGTTTTTCTAGCTTTCTTTTTGCACTATTGTTGTGAGCGTTAGAATACCCATAGGTTAGGCACGCTTTTTATACTAATATTGTCTTCTTGTAGGTGGCCGTTCTCACACAGCGCTAAAGGAGGTTAAAATTAATAATAATTATTTATAATTACTTTAGGTACTTGCTTCAGCTGCTTAGCCCCCAATAATTAGAGCATGGCCAAGTATGATTTATTTTTCAGCATTTTCACTTATATATAACTACTTGAATGATTTTTTATTTTGATTATAACTGCTTAGGATAACCCCTACAGGAAAGTCTAGATTTTTCTTTTCTTTCTGATGTAATATATTTGATTGTAAATATTGTGAAAATCTTTAAAATGATGCATTTTAAATTTAGAGGGGGTCCAAAGGGAAAAGAAAACTCCTATAGGGGGTTTCCTTTTTTATTTGGACACCCTTTTGGAGGATGTACTACTAGGAGCCCAAAGAGATGAAGATGATCTATAGACGAATCAAGGAAGGGAAGATGCAAACTGAAAATATAAAATGCCTTATTTTAAGATTTGCGTCGTTCCCGGGTTATTGTTGGTGGAGCCCGGCCACCATTACGTTTCTGTACTATGGGATGTAATATTGTATGGCACTTGCCATGAAAACTCTTTTTCGTGGGCTTTCTTTATTTTTCTGTGTTTTCTTTACTTTGCTTGCGCAGTAGAAATGACATGTTTTTCATAGGTTTCTTTCATGCATGTGCTTGTGCCTGACTCGCTAGGCTCTTCTAGAAATAAAATTTTTCTACTCGTAGTTAATAATAAAATTTTAAGATTAACTCACATAGAAACATAATGATTTAGGGAATAGCCGGAATCGTCCGGGGTCACATGCATGCATTCTCTCTTCTTTTAGACAACTTCCTCGCCTGCTGGTAGAGTCCGAATAATCTGGCCTATGAGGATGAAGTGTCGGACCTAAGAAAGTTTAGTCATTCTCAAAAAAAATTTATTTTATAAGCCTTTTTAAAATTTCATACATTTCTTATTTGGAGACTTTGACCAGCATAAATTGCATTAGCAACTAATTAAAATTAAAACTTAATTTCATTAGTTTAAGTGCATGTTACCATTCATAAGTGTGGGATCACTTAGAAACTTCTCTAGTTCTCGATCCCAAATTCCAATGTCTAAACTACCCACCCATCTTTCATATGGACTGGACAACATGAATTTTATACAATTAGGTGGTTTTTAACTGGCTTCCTCTTTTAACCGAGGAGTAAGTCCAGGATCGCATTAGTTAGGTCGTAGATGTTAGTATCGTATGTACGATACTACATATTTTATAGTTTATGGTCTAAAGGCTAGTGGTACGAGTGTACCACTATACGCCTTATCGGTGGGTAAGCCTTCCGTTCTTTCGGAAGCTATAAATCCTACCCATCCGCGTCACACAGATGACGCCACCTTCCTCTTTCTCTCATGCATGTCTGAGTGTATTGTCCTTCCTTTTTCTCCAGTTTCCACCTCTTCGAACTGGCCGAATGATGACTGAATCACGTGTGACTGATTGAACCAAATTGAGCCTATCTTCCCATTTGATTAGGAAAGCCTAGAATTTTCCCTTTGCACTAAACCTACTTTTGAGAAGATAATCTAACATCCCTAATCGAGAGTTTTTTTAGACCAAGGTTTAGGATGTAATTAACTACGGGGGCTTGCGCCCGTAGGAAATTGATCCCCACAATCAAATAAACCCCATTCGAGCTGATGTATCGAATTGGAGAAATCTCGTGAACTTTAGAGTTATAGATTATTCTCCATCGAGATTGGTAGGTAAAAGCCGCAACCCTCCATGGCTAATCGTATGTATAATTTCATATGCTCTTCCATCGGTCTGCTTATGTCGAGTGTAATGGTCTACAATCATTTTGTCCTACGGGACAATGCGGTCGTACTCTTTACTTTCGAACCCCATGAGTAGAATCCTTTCGGAGACCCACAGGTTGTTCTATCCCAAATTCATTTATCTTAATTACAATCAATGCCTCTATGTATTTTAATTTAATTGAAAATTAGTTGCAATTAAACATTGAATGAACTTATGGAACTGATAATAGTTATCGCACAAGTAATTGAAAATCTTATTAGGATATAAAATTATGATGATGAAGGCTTATGACACTGATAAGAAAGAAGGGATTAATATTTCTATGGAATAATTTGAAGGATAATGAACTTTTTCATGCCACTTTGCCTTAAACATTGAATGAACTTATTTTTTGGAGTTACAACGAGAAGAATTTAGTTGGGAACAACAGTCTAAGAATTGGATAGGAATGTTACTGGTTTGATAAGGTATTGAATGACATGTTATTGTAAGAAAAAAAAGAATTATTTGTAATTATAAGTTTTTAAATTGATCTCAATAAAAAAATAAATAGTTGTGTAGGATTTGTTATTTTACGAAAAATATCCTCAAATCTTTACATTTTATTCACATTTACTTTGTTACATATATTTTTTATATTCTAATGAAAATTTTCTTTTATTTTGCTAATAAAATTTTTCTTGCCATGTAACAATAAAAGAATTATTTTCTTCAAACCTTTAAGTGATAATTAATTCTTATTCATATTTATTATCATAATTTCTATGAAATTAATTTGTGCCTTATTGATTATAATGAAATGTATGTCTATCTAACATAATACATATTTAATATGGTATCTAGGATAATGTACTACTATATATATATATATATATATATATATATATATATATATATATGGTATACAATAAAATAATAATACAAATTTAGATAACAAATATATATAATAATAATAATAATAAATAAATAAAGAAGAAAAAAATTAAATAAATTTCTTATATAAAAAATAAAAAAATACTCTCTTTTGTCTCAAAAAAAATAAAAAATAAAACCGCGCACACACACATTATATTCATATAATAATTCAAATGAAATTTACCTGATTTTTTTAATTTTGGGTTGTGTTTCTACTTTCTATTATATTTATGAGCAATCCAATGGTTGAGAATGACTTTGGCGGTTTTCACAGCCTTTCTCACGTTTTGCTCTTTATGTAGCCACTAGTAGTAACAATATAACATTAAAGATTAGTGGGGAATTGATCCGTGTCGTTCATCTCTAACAAAACATAGTTTGGATGGCCTTTTAGGGGCTATTTGGTTGCCTGAAAAGGAAATACACTGTAAAGTAAATGCAATGTAAAATAAATATAGGGACTGTTTGGTTGCCTGTATTAGGAGTGTAAAGTAAAACAATTACCTGTATTTATTATATTTGGTTGTTTGGGTAATTTTGAGTGGAACAAAAGGAAATCAACGGATGCGTTAGGAGTGTATTACGGGGGATGTTTTGCGTGAATTAGAAACCCGCTCGTATTGAGCGGGTTATAAATTCATCGGAAGGAAGAAAAGCTTCCTCGTCCTTGTGCTGTTCGGCTTCATCGCACGATAGGCTTCTTCGGCTCTTTCGTTCTTGTTCGACTTCGCTCTAGCAAGCAGCTCCAGAGAGAGTTCGCTCCGGCGAGCAGCTCTCTCGTTCTCCCTCTCTCTCTCTCTCTCTCTCTCTCTCTCTCTCTCTCTCTCTCTCTCTCTCTCTTGTTCGAGATCAAACTCTCAAAGCTAACCGAGAGAGTTGAGAATGAGGAATAATGGATATTTTAATGAACTTGAGGGATGAAGCGTACACGAGAGTTGTGGACGAACTTTCTGACATGATTACCAGCGGCGAGACCATAAGAAATGAAGAGGAAAAGATCCGGCGATTCTCCGAGCAAATGATCTACGTCAAGGAGATCATCATAAAGCTTCAATCGCAGCAATCGGGAGGCCAGTTTACCTGTAGTTTCACTACAGCCAACTTGCTCCGCAGGATTGAGATTGCGGTCAACAATGCTCGAGAAACCATCGAGGGATACAAATCCAAAAGCTCACTCTTACGCTTACTATTATGCCGCTCTATCATCTCCATACTAAACCAGTCATACAAGGAAATCGTCGACGTTCTCAGCCTCCTTCCCTCAACTGACATCGGCATCTCTCTCAACATTTACTCTAATCTCGACGCCATCATACATAGCTTAAAGTCCATAGAGCATAAGCTTGAGGAAAACACTAAGACCATCCAGTCTAGGCTCGATCTGTACATCTCTGAGTACAGCGATCCCTCTTTGCTGCCATTGATCGAAGCCAAGGAAGTGAAGATCGGTGAACCGATTAACGAGGCAAACCAGTTCACCAAAATGCTAGAGTGCTTTTCTTCAGAGATGGAACCCCCAATCCAAAGGGAAAAGAGTACCGTTGATGAAATTGTGAACCTTCCAAACATCTTCTTTTACTGTCCCTTTGCTCTAAAGCTTCTAGAGGATCCCGTCAATGTCTCCTGCAAACACAGCTATGAGAGAAAAGCAGTTGAAGATTACTTCCGCTCAGGACATAAAATTTGTCTCCTTTGCAACAAGGAATTAATGTTTTCATTCTCGGGGAAGCTGGAGCTCACACCGAACCCTACGCTCCTCAATATCATATCAGAGTGGAAGCAGAGGAACGTGCTTATCAATGCTGAGAAGAACGCTAAGAAGAAGCTAAGAGATGCAGCAGAAAGAATCAATTTTGATAATATGGAGTCGACAAATCAAGCCCTGGAAGAACTTAAGGCTGTGATGAATGAAATGTCCAGCTGCATTAGTGAGGCTACCGACAGCTTCTGCAAGCTTGTTCAAAAGCTGGCGGAGCTCTTGAAGAAAAGCGCAGGCACAGGAAACGCCGGTTTGGTGTTATGGTGCCTCTTGTTCATCATATGTTTTTCGCAGGAAAACAAAGTAAGAACTTTTAGTTAATATTTGATTTTAATCCGGATTGTATACCACCAAAATGGCTATATTCTTATCGTACACATAGCTGGTGACTATCTCTTCAAGATTGATATCAAAACAGATGATGTAAGAGTTGAACAAGTTACAGGCTTTCTTCTTTTGGGATATGGCATGGAGCTTCTGTCACCAACTAAGTTAGTAGTTGCAGGCACAACCTCTGCTAGAATTCTGGAGTGCTTTGATGATTGGAATACTGCAGTTGTTACAGAAAGATTTATTTGACCTTTGATGAGTGGATTGGCTATAGTTTCCTATTTCTATAGCTAATCTAACCTTGTTTTCTTAGAACTTATTTAAATCATCTTGATTGTTACCTGATAAAAGTGTTGAACTGCCTTAGCATGAGCTATAGTTCCTTTGAAGCTTAATAATGTTGCTTCGTATGGTCTTTTACTTTTAAACTTATTCTACTTTTTTGTAAGGTTAACTCGTTGATTAACTATATGTTTCGCTCTTCTAATAGTTGAAACCATGGGATCAATGATTACTGCTGAGTATGGTACTTTTGAGTTTTCATATGTGTACTCTTAAGGTATGTTTCAATGTTATGATTAAGTAATAGATGTGTAGAGTTAATTACTTGATTTTTAAGAACAAGGTTTTAGAGTTCTTTTCACTTTTCTGTTTTCAAATTGAGAAAGGCTATTTAAAATTGTGCCTTGAGAATCTCTGTTTCTCTCAATGCTTCAGTTGGGTCTTTTTGCCGCATAATTTTTGTAAAAGAGACATCAGTTGTACCGATGCAAACTACATGTATACTGAGTGATTTTGCAAATATGGTACTGACGATGTTTGCTGCGATCATCACCGCCTTCATTGCGTCGGAGGCTGCGGGGTCGGGGATATCGGAGGTGAAGGTGAACTTTACGGCTTTCTGTTTTCAAGTTGGGTCTTTGCTGTTTTCAAACTACTTCAATCACTTTCTTCATGGTGAACTTTACTTCAATCACTTTTTAGTTTCTTTTTCATTTTTTTTAATGTCTTCAACTCCTATATCATTCTTGTGCTTGTTACCCTCATGTAAAATGATTTGCATTGCACCTTCAATATTGTTCTCTTTTTTCATGTGAGTTTGAGTGGAAGGTAATGGGAAAAGAGTTGTAAAACTTAACTAAATGGTTGCAGATTAATAATAAAATTTAAATGGTTGCAGATTGATAATCACCACACAGCTCACTTTGCTCCATTTTGAGAGTTTTGGAAGGCTGCTTCGTTTGGAATAGCTTTCATATTGTTTTTTACAACGATTTTTTAATTAATTTTGACTGAAAAGTTATTTTACAAAAGCAAGAAGAAAGCTATCCCAAACAAAGTTTAAACAATCGGTGATTACTTTTATAAATACACAAGTTATAATGACAAAAAAAAATTACAAATGCACTATTTTTCTTTACTCTTGATATATCTAACCAAACAAGGAAAACATTTCTCCTACGTTTGCTTTGCAAACAACCAAACAACCTCAAAGTATTTGAAATGCACTACATTTACTTTGCACTGCATTTACCTTACATTGCGTTTACTTTGGCAACCAAACAGCCCCATATTGCATTTCGAATAGTTTGAGTTTGTTCGTTTGTCTTCAAAATAAACGCAGGAGAATTATTTGCCTTCTTTTGCTAGGTATATCCAAAGTGAAGTAAAAACTTTTTTTTAATAATTTATTTTGATATTAAAACTAATGTACTTATAAAAATAGTGTATTTATAAATCTAGATTCATTTATTGCAAAGCAAATAAAAAAAATAGTAGTAGAGCTGTGATGCAATAACTGTTTGGCTGCATTGTTTGGACTTGAAATGTCACAGTTTTGAAGTTGGAAAGCATTTATGTGTTGGAAAGTCTATTTATACTTGAGCCACAAAGTTATAAATTAAAGCTACCTACTGTTGGAAAGTAGTGAAAGCCTTAAGTGTTAGCCCATGTAAATTGGTGTGGGTTGCATGCTAGGTCGATCGGGGTTTTCATTGGCCTAAGGACAGTGCTTCCTCGTTAAAAAAAAAAGCTACCTGCCGCTACTGCCGCCATTGACGCGATGAAACCAAGAATCCCATTTTGCAAAACTATGGAAGAAATCCACGCCGTCCACACCCAGCACCGATATGAAGCTCTCCTCGGCATGGGCGGCTGAGGCCCGATTCTGGTTTCAGCTGACGACACACCGGCCGGCGAAACGCACCTTCCCCGGCCATCAACTAGCCGCGGCACCCAGCGACTATACATTCGGATCAACACCCTCCATTACCTCTACTCCTACATCTTCATCGACTCCGCCAACTCCTACCATAGCCTCTATGTGGGCGGTGTTGCTGTTTTGAGAATCTGGCCGTTTTTTAGGATTCTTAAGCATAATCTCAATATGCTTCTCACAGTGTTGACCGACCAAGCGCAGTCGGTGGTGGTGAAGGAGGTGATACGAGGCCGAGATGTTTCTCATGGTTCTTCTAGCTGGAGGGACAGAGAGGGTTTTTGTCAGGACAGATTACGAGATGGTGATGGATGATTTCAGGAACATGAAGAGGGTTTTCTGTGCCTCCGGCGAGGGGCTGGCAGCGGTCCTTGCGGAGGAGGTGGTGGATAGGGCAGTGGAGGTTGCAGAAGGGGTAATTGGTCTTATGAGCTTGCCGACGGAATGACTTATTGAATACTTTACAACTGCTGCATTGTGAGTCCGGTGTCGCCAGCGAAATTACAGAATGGCAGAGGATTTCGATGCCGCCGACCACCGGGAGGTGGAACCGGTCGGATCTGAACACCGTGTTTAGAGTGCTCTGTCATCAATCTGAAAGGCAAAGGGAACTTCGTCGAAGGAGCGAAGTCGAACAAGAACGAATGAGCCGAAGAAGCCGACCTTTTCGGCTTCATTGCTTCGCAGTGTAAGAGAAATTGACGGAGGTCGGAGTCGAGTTGTTGAAGGAAGATGGTTGAGTGGGTATGCGGCTTTGGATCTTGCGCGAAGAGGCTTCGATCGGCTGCAGGTGGAGGCGTCAGGCTTCGATCAAACTTTTAATGGGTGCGGAGTGCGGACGTAGCTCTGTGTGTGCAACCAAATAGTTTTGCGCCACGTGGAGCCCACCTTGACCCCATCGATTTGAAGAGCACGTATGTTCTACTTACCCGATAACCTGATAACACGAACCACACGAAATACTTAAAAAAATGCGCGGTACCCATATCTTTGAGATCATCCGAAACGTCGCTTCCAGTTTAACTTTTTTGGGCAATTTGCTAGTCTACAGTCCATTCTTCCACAAGGAGAAGTTGCAGGCGATTATTCATCTTCCACAGGAACGAAGCAACTTCATCTTCTACGCTAAGCATCCTGAGCTTCATCGTGGCAATGGGAAAGGTTTGTTTTTCTTGAGTTATATGTAATTTTTGATAATTTTCAGCTTTTAGGGTTTGAATGATGTTGAGAATGCTATTTGCTCATTAAGTTGTGTGACAGAATGTACCGCTGGGTATCGCTGCGTTATCCGAATGTGTACCCAGCAGTTCCTACCAAGTAAGGCTAGGATATTTCTGTTAGCATTGTAAGTTCCATAAGTTATTGTAGATCCAGGGTTTGTCGTTAGAGTTTAATTTTTATTTTTTCGCTTTCAATGTACTCTCGGTATTGCTCGGTACCGAGCTATTTTAGATTCTTTTTCTTGATTTCGCTCGGTACGCTTGGGACCGCTCGGTACCGCTCGGTACCGCTCAGTACCGATCGGTACCGGTCGGTACCTCTAGGTTTTGATCGGTATCGAGCGGTACTGAGCGGTACGTAGATGTACCGGACTGGAATTAAATTTATCCTAATCATTTACAACATATTACGCAGGGATATGTGCTGAAGATTAGCTTCCGTTGCAGAACGTCAACCTTTAGAGAAGTTTGTGATCATTTAGTTGAAATATTTGGCGAGAACCTTGTTGAGAGTTTGAGGCAAAATAATCTGCATCACTTTCTTTTTATGTCACGTTTAGTACAGAATGTTCCGTTGGTTTTCAAGTTGTAGTCCTGCTGGGACATTAAGAAACAATGCTTTATCATTAAGGATCAGAATTTACTATTTACTGCCGATGAAGTAGCTATGATATTAGGCTTACCAAACATAGGCAACAATTTTGAAATAGGTAGTGCTAGAATAACAGGAAAATCAGCCAATGATATTAGGAAAGAGGTGATTAGTTTAGATGAATCTACGCCAATGCCTGGTGTTTTGAAGAAATTCATCATATTTTTGTTGTTAAATCTATTTTTTCCTCTACACAACTATCGAACACCAGCCTCTACCATTAGTGTGGCTCGAAATGTTGAAAAAATTTTATCTTACAATTGGCCAGAATCAATCAGAGAATTCCTTGTTGCTGACTTTAATGTCATTGCCAAAAAGATGAAGAAAGGACTGCCACTCGGTTACTTGAATGGCTTTGTTCATATTATAATTGTGAGTACAATGAATTTAAATAGTTTTGTATTAATTGATGATGTTGAATATTGGTAGATATATTTTAAGTTGATATTCTTATGTATGAGTTCAGATATGGTTTCTATAACATTGTACACTCCACAAACCATTGAATTCAAAATCAAGACCAAGGTATCTCCGCTGGGGATCCGATGTAGTTTATAACGATGCAGATGCTTCTAGTTTATTCGATGATCTTGAAGCTGCTGATTTATTAACTTCTTTTGATGCAATTACAACTGAGGAGAGGGCTTTATTAGCAAATCCTCCCCCATAGACATCACCTGACAAATCCCCTAACAAAGAAATCATCTTGCACAAACCTCGTGAACAACTTTCTTCACCTTCAACATCACCTACACCTCAGAGTCCTCCAAGACAAAACAGCCCACCCCCAAGCCCAATCAGGCCAACCCCAAGCCCAATAAGGTCTCCCCCAAGCCCAATCAGCCCAGGTAGACCAACCACTCAAACACCACCTATGTCACATGGCCAGCAGCAGCAGCAACCAACTTCTCCACCTGATGGACAGCATGATTATAGAGTAGAATATATGCATAAGGTTTTAGATCAAAATAGATTTCTGAGAAGTGGATTCACTACACTGTGTTGAAAGAATACCAAGGTTAAAATAAGTCTTATTGTATGATGTGGACCACTTATGCCTTATTTTGTAGAGCTCTTTCAACCAGTCATGGCTATGAAGGTCCCCTTCATTCAGCATTTCAGTCCAACTACTTTCAAATTCCTCCTCTGAATCACACTTGCT